TTACCCAACTTTTGCTTTCCCTGAACCTATATTCTTTTCGTTCCGGAGTTATAAGCGTTTTGTTCACTCATCTTCTATTTTGAAATGGATAGTAGTTTGTTTAGTTAGAGAGAAAATCCCATTTTGTATCGAAAATGTTCATCGAGATTGTTTTAGCTATATTTCGAACAAAATAACCACAAATTCCAACTCATCACGCACCATACGATTTCTGGAAATCTCGGCTATTCACTTTATATCACAAAATGTTTCTTCAGTCTATGTATTTTCTTGTATTTTGGCAACAATATCGCAGCAACCACACTATTTATTTTTTATTATGTTCACAGTCAGAAACTTACTTTTCAAGATCTCAAGATTTGAATACAACCTCAATTTCGAATTTTAAGTTTGATCCTTTATTTCTTGTAACTTAGATAAAAAGACGGTTAACACATCAAAAAAGAAACCTATCAATTTCTATATGATAATCTTTCTCTCTAAACAGCACCATTTTCTACGAACAATACCACTGAAGATCGGATAGTTCTTAAAAATCATTGTATCAAAGCTTTACCATACTCTAAAGTGTGGGAAAATATTATATTTCTAGACAATCAACATAGCTCTATCAAAGGCACGACTCGCGTTTTTTGAAACAAGTGCAAGTACAAGGAGAAATGTCACTCTCACGCGTTCTGACAAACTATATTAGTTTCATGCTTGATTGGACATCAGGTAATACGTGCGCTTCTTCTGTGTAAATTGAATCGACACGTGACATGCAGTTGTTTTCAAGTGGAAGAAAAATGCATCGTTATGTGGCGTAGCCCAATTTATTTTCGCTCAAGTGTTATTTTGGTTTTATTTCGAACAGTTGGTATCTTTGAAATAGCGGTGAGCGAGTTTTCGATGAAATCCACTAAAACCAACTTGGATGTGTAGAAAGCATGATTTCGACCACTATGGCACGTGACAGAAAGTCGCAGTGGCAGAAATGCTAGTGTAAAGCTTATGCTTTTTGCCAGACAACCGATAGTGAAAGTACGAAACTTGAATTTTGAAGAAAGATGTACTTCATTTCCTTGGTATTATCGAGATTAGTGAGTGGAATTGCAAGTCTCTATTCTCATTTCTTTAAGGAATCTCTCTGAAAGCTCATCGCAACTGTAAAAGCTCAAAAATTAAAGACAAAACACTACTGGATTAAGATGTGGAACTACTAGATACTAGATGCTTTTTTGAAAAGTCGAAGTTGATGATATTTGTCATATGTTTAGCCACAAGATGCTGACCGTCTACTGTATGTAAGACTTAGATAGTGAGATTCTGTCTTAAATATATCTCTTACTTTTAGATTACACTAATTCTGAAAACAATCAAACGTATTGAGCGTCGAGAAAAATTACTTAATATGAAACTGAAGGCATCATCGCATATCGACGTCACATATTTCATTTTCGACATATTTCTCCTGTTTACAGGGGTTGGTTTTGCACTTTTAGGAATATTCAGCTTTGCTCTATTCTACTGTTTTGTATTTCGAAATCATTATGTCTATGATCGTGAAAAACTATCGACAACTGCGCCTTCAAAGAATATAGGTTCAGGGAAAGCAAAAGTTGGGTAAAATCGGATCAAGCTTTTGTTGTACACTGTAATCATTCATAGCTAAATATCTTCCTTGAACTGTAAAATGTTATTTTTAAGGCAGTATTCACCTTTTTTAACTCATTCATTGTATCAACAACGTCCAATAAATGTTTATCGTCTGTTTGTGATAAATTCGGTATTTAGTTACAAGTTTTTTGTGAAACTCCTTCAGCCTTTCTTAATTTATGTGTATCTCAGCTATCTTAAGAAACATTCGTTTTAAGAGAACCTTTTATATCAAAAATTGTTGTTGTTCATTCTTTTTGTGACATATACGGACTTACTTAATCTGCGAAAGAGATGTGTCACAAAAGAAAACTTGTTGAAAAAGCCGATAGTGTAACATTGACACTAGCGAAAATGAGACCTATTTAGACAAGGAAACAGAGAGCTGAATTTGCTGTGCACATCCTCCAAATTTACTATCTGACTCTCATACTGATTTGGCCTTTTCAGAGAGAGATTAGAACATGAGAAAAGCATTGTCTGCTCGACGAACTCATTAAAATTTGATTGCACTATGTTCCGAGTAAAAGTAGAAAGTCCGAGTAAAATATAGTGGCATCCATCGTAAAAAACAAAACAATGACTGGAAAAATGTGGAGCTAGTAATATTGTCGGACGCTATAAAGATGACCTTCCGGACGGGTGGTCAAAGAGGTCCAAAAAGCAACAATGACTAGACGCCGTTGCTCTGCGCAAACTGGCACTTTGCGGACCTCAGTCATACCCGCCGACAGGGCATCATGTTTCGCTACCGGACATGTTGTTTAAGATGAGACAGTCATCTGGATGATGTTCAATAATGTTGATTTGAAATAATTAAAACGCGACCGGTATATAGTCACAACACCAGTCCAGACAGGCGTCCTCACCCGTCTTTTTCTGCGGCGGTCGGACGTCGTCATCCCGTCCAAAAGTGGCACTTTGCCCACACCTTTTTTGGCCTTAGTAACCCGTCCGAGGTCAAAAACGGACCCCACTTTTTAGCCGTTTTTGGTTTACCTGGTAACAATATATATATATTCTAACCGAAGTATATTATGAAATACTAGACAAGATTCTGCGTCTTCTAAGCATAGAACGAAGTTTTAAAAGATATTCTACGATGTTGAAAACATCAAGATTTTCTACCCTGAATTTGACGCCAAAGGACCGTAGCACTAAAGTAAAACTGTGTACCAAAGGTAAAAAGTTACTTATGGGTCATCCACTGTACAGTATGTTCCTGCATTGCTCGTGTGAAACAAGAAGGAAAACTTAGCTTCGATTGATTGAACAATTCACTGTTGTCTCCACACCATCATTATAGAGAGATACTCAGTGTCACTTAGCAAGTTGAAAAATTCAAGTTGTATTGCATTAAAGTGTCTATTATAAATCTTTGAACGAAGATTTAGCACGGGCATATCTACTTTTAGTCTTCTGATAACTATACTGTGAAATAAGAGGTACATTTTCAAAAAAAGTGCATCCATGGTGTCTTCAGGTTACTCTTGTTTTCCTTCATTGGTACAAAATTTTATGTAAAATAACACACCAGGATGTCTTCAAAATGCGGCTCGATTCCTATTTTATGCACCCCCAGGGACTTAATAAGATATAACGGAGGCCTATCTATGCACGTTGACTGCGTTAAACTGGATGCATTCTTCGTGCGTAAGTCAAGATACACTGGTGGATACAAGCTGCCATAAAAGTAGAGAATGTTTCGAGGTGCCTTAAGTCATACATTGAAAATGTCTTCATATATAGACTTATCTATAGTTAAGTCGACTTTTTATGGCACTTGATCTAAATGCTTCGGATGGAATATCGAGTTATCTGGATACGTGCGGTAATCTATCTTGATACCAATTAGCAAAATGTTGGAAGTAATTGGATCAAATTGACATTCGACGCTTTGTTTTCCCCCTTTACATCTAGATGTATTGAGCAATTCGTTGAGTAATGTAATGCTGCTAGATAACTCGATACTCCGTCTAAAACATCTAAACAAAGTACCACAAAAAATCAACCGATACATCAGTTGATTAGCTAATTCGATCTCCACACTACTACATCGAATCATTGTTTGCATAACAACTGTTCTCAAGGTTATTATCTACTCCTTGTAGATATTATATATTGTCACATATAAACAAAAGTGTCGTGAATACTAAAAAAATGAAATTTTCTGTTAAAAAAATTTGAAGATTATTTTGAATATATTTATTTTGAATTAACCACTGGCGTATCGGACAATAGACCAAAGTTAGAAGTTGTTGACGATACATTAATTTTTGTAAATGTTTCTAAAAAAAACAAATAGGTACGGTAAAGTCTAAGGCATGTATGTGTTTATATGTTGATATCTGAAAGATTTATTTTTGTTGATATTGGTTATTTTAAATTTAATAATACAGTCATGTGTCGAATAAGTAATAGTCTGAGTGATGCAACAACCATATCATCAACATAATTCAATTTTGATGCATTTTTCCGCTTGACTAGCCATCGTTTTGTTTAAATATTTGTATTATGTATAATGCTAGATGGTAAATTTCCCCACCATAATTCGCGTATTGGTTCTGTAATTAAATTGGCCGCCAGAATTATCTTTAAAAGGTTTGATGGTTCTGTGTCTTTGCTGTTGCAAAAGCTTAAGTTACCTGATTTATATAAAAGAAGAAAATACTGGTCTATTCCCGTTTCGTCGAATGCTTAATTAATTATCCCGTTTCGTCGAAACATTTTGTAGTGCTTTTTTTCTTGTAATCCCGTTTCGTCGAAAATAAAAATACCACTGTTCCCGTTTCGTCGAAAAAGGAAGATGAAAGAAAATTAGCAGAAGCTCAATAATTCTAATTGCCTTTTGATTCTAATTGTTTGATCATCTTAATATTAACCTTTCTAAAAGAAATTAATTAAAAGAATACTGATGAGACCAATCTATTGTCTTATCGAAGTATATATAAGTGCAGTGAAAACGGTAAAATTCCACTGTTCCCGTTTCGTAAATCACTTCTTAATCCAAATTTATAACATGTTTTCAATTGTTGAAAGTAAACGCAAAAAACCAGTTTTATTATTCGATACATTCCGTTACACGCAAGATAAAATTGTTGGTACAACTATTTACTGGAAATGCGAAGATCGTTCATGTCCCGGACGCGCTGTACAATATGGATCAGCTGCACCAAATTTGAAAAAATCACATAATCACAATGGAGATGAAAACAAATGTAAAGCCGAAGAATTCAAAATAGCCGTAAAACGACGTATTGAACATTCACCACAACCAGTTAAAAGAATTTACAAACAAGAATTGACATCATTATATACAACGTCACCGCAAATTGCACCATCAATACCAATGTTTCATGAAATTAAAAATTCATTATACAAAACTCGAAATGATAGTTATCCACCTGCTCCACATACAGTTGATGACGTTAAAATCGAAGGAATATGGAGAAAAACATTACATGGTGATCCATTGTTCTCGACGATTCAATATTTCCTATATTTGGCACTACAGATTCTGTTAAACAATTATCAACATCCTTTAATGATCATTGGTTTATGGATGGAACATTTAAGAGTTGTCCACATCCGTTTTATCAATTATATACAATCCATTCAGTTAATAATGATTTATCAACACCAGAATTATACACATTATTACCAGATAAAAATGGTTCAACATATACACATATACAATTTTATGATTATGTCACAAGTACATGGATAGACGACGATGCATTATTTCATATATCGTTATAGAATTATTTCAATTTTAAAAGTTTAAGAACGAACAATAATTTAGAGGGTTGGCATTTTCGTTTAAATAATGATTTGAATCATATTAATCACCCACATTTTTATGTATTTATTCGTGCAATCCAAAATGATTATGCTCATAATGCCGCAACATTATCAAGACACCTAGCCACTGGTACATTACCACCACGAAAAAAACTATACGTCAATCGAAATGCAAGATTGCTCAATTTGGAAGATCGTTATCAAGCACACACATTGACATTGGAAGAATACTTCGACAAAGTGTCAAGATTAGTAGGCGTTAAGAAATTTTGATTTTTTTTTCTTATTGTACTACTGTATATACACATAAAATAGTTCTCTCTAG